CAAACGCTAAACCCTAAACCCTAAACCCTAAACCCTAGGCAGACTGCAGATCCGGTTCCGCAGCTCTGGAAACTGAAGCCTGGGCTGCTGCGGCCTCAGTCGCTAGCTTTCTTGGAGGGTTCAGGGTTTGTGGATTAGGGTTTGTGATTTGGGGTCTAGGGTTTAGGGTTTAGGGTTTAGGGTTTAGGGTTTGCGGTTTGTTTGTAGCTCGCATGCACTTGCACATGCCCTCATCGTGCCCCTCTGTTTCATTCCTCCCCAAGGCCCCTCCCGAAATTGTGCGTCTTCAGGGTTTAGGGTTTAGGGTTTAGAGTTTAGAGTCTAACAGCTGCCGCTGCTGCTGCTGCTTATGCTGCTGCTGCTGCAACTGCTATCCCTGCAGTTGCTGTTCCTGTTCCTGCTGCAGCTGCAGCTGCTGCTGCCGCTCCACGGGTTGCCCTTTCAACTGCTGCTGCTGCATTTGCTGCTGCGTTTGCTACTGCTGCTGCTGCTCCAGCTGCTGCTCCAGCTGCTGCTGCTAGAACTGCTGCTGCGACATCCACTAGCTGCTGCTGGTGCTGCAGCTGCTTGCTGCTAGTGCTTCAGCCACTTGCTGCTGCTGCTGCGGCTGCTCGCCGTTTCGTGCTGCTCCTGCAGCTGCTTGCTCCCCCTGCTGCAGCTGCGTGCTGCTGCTGCTGCACCTGCTTGCTGCTGCTGCTGCTGCTGCTGCTGCTGCTGCTGCAGACCCTTGATGACTCTGGTATCAGCTTTGTGAGTGACTTTGAAAACCCTTTTGTGCTGAACTTCGCGGGGGAAGAAAGCTGGAAACCTTTCACGCGCTCTGTCTTCCAAGTAAACCCTAAACCCTAAACCCTAGGCCCGAAACCCTAAACCCTAGTCCTTTAACCCGAAACCCTAAACCCTAAATGGGGGTCTGTGAAAGAGACTTTACGGGGGCATCTGCAAAAAGCACGAGCTTAAAGCAGCCCCAAGGCCTATATAAACTCTAAACCCTAAACCCTAAACCCTAAACCCTCACTTCTGGGCTTTAAATTCGTCCCCCGCTTACCTCACTCATGTCTCCTTTTGCCCCTTTCCAGAACTAAATTAAATAATATAAAATCAAATTAAACTG